GCAGGCTTCGAGGGGCACTTTTCGAATAAAAAAGGGCATCTAAGAATTTTTTCCCGGAAATGTTGGCGAAGGGAGGGGGGGGGGAGGTCATCTCAAAAAAAATTTCCATACATACCAAAAAAATTTTCTGGATATATCACACTTTTTCCTAAATATTCAAATTTTTTTTCGGATATACCAAAAAATTTTCCGGATATATGATATCTTTCCCAGAAATGAAAAAAATTTTCCGGAAATAACATAAATTCAAGTTTTCAGAAGTGCCCTTTGTGGAAAAAATGCAATCTTAATGACATTTATCACGCAAGAAAAGGGCACTTTGCTCCCGGAAAAAGAGCACTTTGGAAAACTTGGGGGGCCTGCCCCCCTGTTCCTACGCCCCTGTGAAGGGGGAGGGGGGATTAAAGATTGTGTTTGTATCAGTTTGTGGTAATCTTCCAACACGACAACACATGTGACAAAACATAATTAAGATTTTTAAAGTTTTTTTGCTTTCTTATCATTTATCATGGTAATTGCTAGATAGTATACTTCAAAATAAGGTTTCCGTTTTTATATCAATTTTTAAAATAAGTTAGGGTTAGGTTAGGGTGTAGGTTAGGGTTAGGTCGGGGTTAGGGTTAGTATTAGGGTTTAGTTTTGCGTTAGGATAGTTTTTTCTACGTTATAAAAACGGAAACCTTATTAATATTTTGAAGTATACTATCTAGCAATTACCCATTTATCATGGTACTATTGTGAGAAAGCAAAACCCTATGCTTTGTCATCCGCTATAAAAAATGCCGCCAAATTTAGTTACACCGATTTTCGGGTGACGTCCACTAGTATGGAGGTTCAGATTTGACTACCACTGCCTCTCACTCATTCACTGGCGTACTACGCACCCAAGACTCTAGACGAGGTTGATTATATCAGGGCGCCTTAAAAAAACACACTGTATTAAAACGCTGTTGGTGTTTTATTACGCCCTGATTATATAAAGTCCTGACATCGTTGGTTGATGTGTACCGCTGGAACACCGCAGGCTTTAGACGCCATTTTGATTTATATTGTCTAGATGTGTGTGTTTTTTACACTGTTGGATTCTGTTTATATAGTTATTTCTCTTTAAACTAAAGCGGGTTTATTCAACCACGCTGTTGTATGGAGTTTGGGTGCTTTTATTGACCTCATTTTGGAATTGGAAACATCAAACAGAAAAATGTGTGTCTCAGTGTTTGGCCTACAAGAATGAAGGAAATTGATTTGAGTGTTTATACTTGGATTGTATCATGTCAAAGAGACGAGTGTCTTACTTCTATGACGAGGAAGTGGGAAATTTCCACTATGGTAAGTTAGATTAGGACAATTGATCTTTTTCACTAATCAATAGACTACACAGCTGTGACTGTGAGCTGTTTATTGCGGTTTTATACCCCATTTGAGCACGAAACATGGGATTAATATCAGGGCTTTCCAAATATTAAAGCTGCTGGAGCTCCAGTAGGTACCATGGTAATATCGATATCGCGATATTTGACTTTTCGATATATTGAAATATCAATTTTTTGACAAATATCAATAAACAGTTATATTTTAACTTTGGTCAACTGTGAATCATATGTTTTTGAGGTGCGCATTTACTGCCAGTATTGTAAATCTCCTGTTGCTGGTAATTTATTTTTAATGAGCGTTTATGCTTCATGAAAATGCATTGGTGTGCGCACAGGTTATCAGAAGGTTATGTGGTTCAATTCCTGTTAGGGCTCAGAACTTTTCTGAGTATAGACCCATTGCACTGACATCACAAATCATTGGGTCATTCCAGAAAAGATCCATACCCCCCCCCTACGGAGGAAATCGAAAATAACCCCCTC